ACCACCACCACCCAATGGTGACCACATGCTGTCAAAAAAAAACTAAATGATTCAATTTGTGAAACCTTTTTTTTAAATAGCTTTAAACAAGCCAAACTAAACTAAAACGAATGACGACAATAACAACAAACAAAAAGAAAGAAGAAAATTTAGATGTCAATTGCAGTCGAAAATATTTACAGAATCGAAAATAGAGTAGGGAATTCTTCTTCTTTTCATATTGTTCATTTCTATCTGTTTCATTTTGATTCTTCACTAACAAATCACTAAATTTAAGCTAATTGTCTTTTCTGTTGTTGTTTTTTTATTGGTAATTTCTTTCTTTTTTATCATCACACCCATTGAGAAAATTTCATTTTCATTTTGATAAATGTAAACCAATGGATGAATGAATGAATGAATCCCGGGATACCAGACCAAAATGTGTGAAGGAAAAAAAAACGATCAAAACCAGAAAAAATGGCTGTTTGGTTTTTGGTTTTTCTGTCTTATTCAATTCTTATTCACACCTCTCTCTCTCTCTCTCTCTCTCTCTCGACCATATCATTTTCGCACCACACATTAATGGATTCGTTTTTTTCATTGTTTCAGAGAAATTTCTTGCTTTCTGAAAACTTTTCTTCTTCTTTTCATAGTTATCTTCTAAATGAACTAAGTAACTAGGCTAAGTAACTATTAGTGGAAAAAATTAGCTCGATACATTTTTTTTGTTGTTGTTGTTGTTTTGTTCCACCCAAATATCCGTTTTTTTGTTGTTGATGATAATATTAATTCATTTTTTTTGTTTGATTGATCATTTTTCTACCAGAAAACCAGAAAAAAAATCCAAATCTCAACCAGGAGAAAGAGAAAAAATTATCATTGGCTATTTGACTCATCACCACCACCACCAACTGGCCATGATTTTCTCGTTTCTCTCGTTCCACAAAGATCAAGATTCATAATATTTACTGAAAATTTGGCGTTGGCGTTGTTCAAATTGTATATACTTTTTTNTTTTATTGGTAATTTCTTTCTTTTTTATCATCACACCCATTGAGAAAATTTCATTTTCATTTTGATAAATGTAAATCAATGAATGAATGAATGAATCCCGGGATACCCGACCGAAATGTGTGAAGGAAAAAAAAACGATCAAAACCAGAAAAAAATGGCTGTTTGGTTTTTTTTGTCTTATTCAATTCTTATTCACACCTCTCTCTCTCTCTCTCTCTCTCTCTCTCTCTCTCTCTTTCTCTCTACGTTATATCATTTTCGCACCACACATTAATGGATTCTTTCATAAATTGTTTCAGGGAAATTTCTTGTTTTCTGAAAACTTTTCTTCTTTTCATGGTTATCTTCTCAATGAACTAAGTAACTAGGCTAAGTAACTATTAGTGAAAAAAATTAGCTCGATACATTTTTGTTGTTGTTGTTTTGTTTTGTTCCACCCAAATATCCGTTTTTTTTGCTGATGATAATATTAATTCATTTTTTTTTTTTTGTTTTGTTTGATTGATCATTTTTCTACCAGAAAACCAGAAACCAGAACCAGAAAAAACCAGAAAAAAAATCCAAATCTCAACCAGGAGAGAGAGAAAAAATTATCATTGGCTATTTGGCTCATCACCACCACCACCACCAACTGGCCATGATTTTCTCTCTCTCTCTCTCTCGTTAGACGAATGACACAAAGATCAAGATTCATAGTATTTACTGAAAATTTGGCGTTGGCGTTGTTCAAATTGTATATACTTTTTTCTACCACTCACTCACTAGCTCTCTACATACTTTTTTCACATGATTTAATTAAGTTGTCAAATGAATGAATGAATTGAGAATAGCGAAAATCAACCAAAAATCAACATTACAGAACGGCTGGCCCTTTCTATTCTTTCAATCTGATTCCAAGAACCATACATACATAGAATCTTTTTTTTTGGAAAGCATATTTAAGTAGATTACACAGGATTTATTGATATTGGTGGACAAACAAGCAAACAACACAACAAAACTAAATCCATATTTGTCTTTTGGATCAATGATTTTTTCTCCTATCTCTCTCTCTCTTTCTCTCTCTATTTGTGAATCATAATGAAACAAAAATGATGGTAATATTCGTCCAAAATTTATGTGATGATTCTCTCTCTCTCTCTCTCTCTCTCTCTCTCTCTCTCTCTCTCG